TTAACGACAATGAACAATCAAGTTACGTCTTACCATAAAAATCGATGGAACGAGCGTCTCCCCCCGCGACGAAACTGATCATGTAACGCTCATCAATAAATCATTGTTTATCATTCTTCTTTTGATTCTCGCGTGACGTGTTCGATCTGGAAATTTTCAAAATTCAAAATTTACTTCTCCAATTCGCCGATTTTATCGTCACACGTTTCCCAGTCGAATTATCGAAGTACACCCCCCGCGAGCAAACAATTTCAATAAGTTGTCGAAGCACAGGTTAATCAAGTGTTGTTTCCTCTGTACAAAATATCTGTCATCTGTTCATTCCAGAACCTCGGATCATAATAGCAGATAATCCGAGCAAATTAAATTGCAATGGGAACGGCAGTTTAACAACTGCATTGCGAGGTCGTGGGCCGTGTTTGATGCCGGTGCAACCGAATCGTTCGTTACCTATACTCCCGGCACCATCTATACCTACGAGATTCTTTCGAAAAGATTCGTCAGCCGCCCTCGTCCAACCGCCCAAAACCACTGTGGACGTAGGAAAGGTAGGATCGATGAAATCAATCGGCGCGTTGCCGAACGAGCAATTGCAAAAAGACGTGGAGATCAATGCCGATATCGAGCAGATATCATCGAAGGACACTATGAGCTCGATGAATTACGTCGTTCCGCAAATCTCGAGCGTGGAGAGCCTCAGCACGATAAAAAGGAGGAGCAACAACAACCACGCGGTTGAGCAGAACGAGAAGAACAACGCTAAAGAGAACAGAAAGAAGAAGAAATCGCAGGAGCCGAATGCAAGCAAAGGGAAATGTACCGAGGGCTCGATCAAGGAGTTCTTGACAAATTTCTGCGGCTCGAACGCGACCGAGGGCATGCAGAACCTTTGCACTGAGAAATGCGCCAGAGCCGCTTCCACGACCGAAGAAGACGACAGAGGTGGGAATAAATTGGTACCTCCGCTGAAGCTGAAGAAGGTCCTGCGTACGGGTAACGATAAAAAACAAAAAAAAAAAAAAAAAAAAAAAAACTTGTATTATCTATCACGTTCTATCAGAATTTTTGTACGTTTATGGGAGATTTGAAGCTGCAAGAGATACATAGAATACACGTAGCATGTAAAAAAAAAAAAAAAAA